CGCACACTCCTGCGCACCCTCAGAGCAGCTTCCTCCTCCTCCTCCTCCTCCTCCTCCTCCTCCTCCTCCTGCTCCTGGGAGGGGAGCCTCGCGATCCCCTGTGATTGCGGCCGCACGGATTCTGGGCTGGCCCTCTTTCGGTGGCAACCCGTGGAAGCTTCCCATACCATCTTGTCGTCTCTTGCGAATCGACGCTCGTCGACGCTAAATCGACGCTGACCGACGCTAGATTGGCGCTATCTCGTCCACTCCCCGACGCTACTCGACGCCAATCGACGCTAAAGACAATACTGCGAGAGCACACGGGGCTCCCACGATTTGTTACCGAACTCCTCCCCACGAGTGCCATGACAATGGACACCCATAACAGTCCGATCGTTGAATGAAACATGTGAATCAAATAGTAAAATATAAGAACAATGTTTGAACCAGTGTGTAGGACAGGTTTTGATCATCTTTCAGACACCTGGAAACTATTTGGCAACATGCTTCCTCTCTTTATCGTCGTCCACAGCACGAGCGACGAGCACGCTGTCCACGCCCGCGCCCCCGCGCGGAGCGAGGCCGCCCTGCCCGCGGGGCCGGGGCCGCCGGAGGAGGAGGAGGAGGAGGAGGAGGAGGAGGAGGAGGAGGAGGAGGAGGGAGGAGGAGGAGGTGGAGGAGGAGGAGGAGAGGAGGATGAGGAGGGAGGAGGAGGAGGAGGGAGGAGGAGGAGGAGGAGGGAGGAGAGGGGGGGGAGGGGAGGAGGAGGAGGAGGAGGAGGAGGAGGAGGAGGAGGAGGAGGAGGAGGAGGAGGACTCATGTAGGACTCAAGCGGAGCAACAGCGTTGCGTCTTTTGGCCTTGGGGGAGGCCCTCAGGACACGAGGCTGTGGGAGCTCCTCCCCCGCCCAGCCCCCGCGAAGACCTCGCCCAGCAGCACCTCCACCACCAGGAGCAGGGTGCCACTCAGGGAGAAGCACAGCGGGAACGAGCTCAGCTGCGCACTGCCAGCGGCACGCCGACAGAGGCGTGCACCACGCAGGACCGCGCAATCGGCACGCACTCCAAGACCATGCAGCGGCGGCCGCTGGCCTCGTCAACCGCGAAGCTCACGTCCGCCTGCACAGCAGCCTCGTCGCACGGGCCGTCAGCTGGCTCCTCGACCATGTGGTAGTTCAGGCCCCCAAGCGCCACCACGCGGCGGGACGGCAAGGGCTGCCCGCCGAAAAGCACGCCCGGGAGCATGCTCGGTCTCCGCGGGGATCTTCGGCTTCTCGTGATCCTCCACCGTGTCGAACTCCTCGCGCGGCTCGATTTCCTTCGGCTCGATCGCGCTATCCTCGCACAAAACGCCTTCGTACACTGCGGCGGCGTGGTAGTCCTTCCCGTCGCCTACGCCCTCGGCTACCGCCAGCGGGTCCAACACCGCCAACAGCTCGTCGACATCAGCGCCCAGCCGAACAGGATGCTTCGCAGCGCTAGGCACGAACGGCAGAGCCACCGTGTTCCACACTGCGGGGCCTTGGACGAGCGCTGCAGACTTGACAACGCCCTTGAGCCCCTCGGCCACACATATCTCCACGATGCTCTCGATCGCGTCGGCGTCGTGGGTCATGGCCGTGACTTGCTTGCTCGCCGCAGCGCCGTCCAAACGCGGCCCGCGCTGGGCCACGCGGAGCGCCGTCGCATCAGCGAACAGCAGCTGCGCCCCTGGCGTGGCTGCATGTAGGCCGGCGTTGCGCCTCAGCCTCTGCAGCCACGTCGGCGCGCGTCCCGCCAGCAGCGCCGCCAGAGCTGGCAGCAGGCAGCGGACTCGGGCGGCGACCTCGGCGTCCCCGACGATCACCTGGAGGGCCTCCTCCGCCTCCTTCCTCTTGCGGTCAGCGTCCCCCAACTGCCTGTGCAGCCGCGCGACTAGGCGATCCGCCGCCGCACGGGCTCCAGCGGCGCCGCGCAGCGCCGCCGTCGAGGCCCCCTCCCGCAGCCATCCCAAGCGGTCCCGCGCGGCCGAAAGCGGGCGGAACACACGACTTGAGCCAAAATGGCTACGGCAGGAGGAGGAGGAGGAAGGGGAGGAGGAGGAGGAGGAGGAGGAGGAGGAGGAGGAGGAGGAGGAGGAGGAGGAGGAGGAGGAGAGGAGGAGGAGGGGGAGGACGGGTCGCCTAAGCCCTTCGGAGAAACCCTCCAGGCAGAAGCTGAGGAGCACAAAAACGGTAGGTTCGCGTCGTGTCGACCCCGGCGTTGGCGCCTGACACCGCGGGGATCGTTCAGACTTGAACGATCGGCCGTGCTCCGTGAACGCCAGGTCTGAAGGGGCCCTGGGACTCACAAATAAGTACACACAAATAAAATGATTCCCCGTATGTTCCCGTATTTCCTGTGTTTTTGTCTTCCCGCAAGATTCCCATATGTTCTAATATTTTACTGGGAGTCGACGATCAATTGTGTCTGTGTGTTTCTTTCCCTCCTGAAGATCGTTCAACGACGGGCCGATTCTGGGCCACGGGCGGCGTTCCACCTGGAGCGCATGCGCTGGGGTCGCCACCAGTCGACACGGCGTGAGCCTGGCGTGTCGTGTTGGAAGGAAGGGGTTGGGACAGGGCTGGACCCTTTCTGCTGTTGTTCGTCCTGTGTCCGTTGTGTGTTTCGTTCTGCTCTCCCAGGGTTCCTGTGCCTCCCTGCCGAAACGACAAAACAAAACACTGCCGAAGTCCAGCTAAACACCGTTTAGGTCCAGCCCTGGGTCGGGAGGATGAAAGGCATGAGCAGTACAATTACGAACGACACCTTCGGCCGCCGAATTGTACGGTTAAAGATCTACTCGTTTCTCCCACCCCCCATCCTTCCAACCCGATAGCGGTCTTACTGGAAAGCGGGGAACGCGAGTGCTTGGGACCCCATCCAGGGCATAAGGTTTGGCCGAAAACGGCGCGCTCCACCAAATGCCGCACGCATCCGAACGCCGCACCTCGACCTGATCTTATACATATCAGCTGAAATTTCGACCGCCGCCCACGTGCGTCCAGCCCGCGACCCCTCGTTCCCCCTGCTCTTCTCCCACCTGGGTGTCGGCGAGTCCCACTTTTGTCGCGATCTGGACCACCCCCGCTCCTGGGCGGGCATGGCGCCAGTGTCGTACCCGAGCATGGGCAGCTGGAAGGGCACGAAGTCGGCGGCCACCCAGCCCTCCATCGACGCGTAGGGCACCATGACCGTCTCTGCACCGTCTTGCCCGGGCGGATCTTGCCAGGAGGCAGAGCCCCCGGTGACGCACCTGTGCTGCATCGGCTCTTCATTGCTCGTGTCCTGCTGTCTGTCTGCACAGCCGCCACCGCGCCTGCACGGCGGTGGAGTGCCAGAGAGATGGCGGGCTGGCTAGCACTGTTTCTGCATCTTTCCATGGCCACTCCCCCCCAAATCGCACGCGCCCTCCAAACACCGCTCCCCCTCGAATTGCTCCACGGCGCTCTTTTCGGTACCTGCGACGGCAAGCGCCAAAGACCGCTCAAGACAGCTCCAAGACCTCGATACGGTCCCAAGACGGCCTGATCATCTCTCTAGATGGCCCACGATAGCTCCAAGATTGCCACAGCACCCGCTCAGACGTCCCCAAGGTGGTTCAGCCGAGGGAGAGCTGCACCTGGACACAAGGCGGGCCCCCAACCGCGCCCCAAAAATCCCCCAGGAGGGCCCCAAGAGGCCCCCCCCCCCCCCAGAGGCCCCGAAGAAGCCCCGAAGAAGTCTCCAAGACGACGGAAGAGGCGCAGACCGAGGCTGAGGACAAGGAGGACGTCTTGAAACCACGCGCCGATTCAGGCAGGCCGCCGAACTGGCACGGGTCCTACACTCAACTTCCTTCCTGCTGCGCTGCTACGCTGGCGCGGCGGCGTGGCTTGCTGCTCGCAGCTGGACATGTTTTTGTGTGTATATATATATATATATATATCGTGTGTGTGTGTGTGCAAGTGGCACGTGCGTGCCGCGGCTAACGCAATGAAGAGAAGGGGACATGTAGCCCTGGAGGTATGATGCAGAACGGTTATTGAAGATGGAGCTAGCGTTGCTAGCTGGAGCAGGGGCTAGAGATGACATGCACTTGCAGCACAGGGCGGCGGGAGACTGAGGAAGAGCAGGAAGCGGAATCCGAAGATGAGAAGGGAAGGTAACGGATGAAAGGAGGAGCACGGAAGACGGAGGGGGCCACAGGCATTCAATCACTGAACAGCATGGTGATGTCCAGAGTCTGTCCACCAGTAGCGCTGAACACTGATTTGCGCCGATAGGTGTGAAATAGTAGTGGGGTCCCGAGCGCCCCAACACAACTCACAAAGATAGCACGGCTCGCCCTCAGATGGAGAACAACAGCCAACAATAACAACAACTACCGGTCGTAGATGCACTGCTGAACAAACCAGTCGAAATTCGAAGCGAAGAAATGGCTCGCTCTCGGGTAAAATGTCTCCAATGCGAACTCTTCTAAAACAGAACTCGCAACTAAAAGCATACTGTGGTAGTTACTCGGTTTGTAATTCCCGGCAGGCTAGAGCCATTTGGGATAAACCACATCGTGCTTCAATTGGGACTTCGGAGGGGGAACAACTATGCGGCCGAGTTCTTGGTTCAGGGTCCTCCACCCAGTTGCGCTAGGATCGTGGCGTCGCGAGGCTGTCGCATCGGCGACGCACAATTGCGGTGGGCGGGGGGGGGGACACTGCCACGCGAAATGACAACAGTGGAGCTTCGCCAGACACCGCCTCGGGGCCCTGGGCTCCCGGAGAGGTGCGCGTGCGCGCATACACGCGATGTCCTGACCGCGCTGCTGCACGGATGGAGCTGGCATGACGAACGAACAACACACACCCATACCCATAAGGGGGTCGTTGGGAGGAGGACTGGCTATGGGTATGGGTGCGGGTTGTCGGACCCTAGGGAACGCTCCCGTTCGAGCGGGGACCCCCATCCGACAACACGCACCCATAGCCCTTTTCGACCCCCCTATGGGTATGGGTGTGTGTTGTTGGTTCGTCATGGAGGAACAGCGTGCCGCTTCCCCCCCCTCTCTCCCGCAAGCACGCTGCCCCCGTGAGGCGATCTCCCCCCCCCTGCGAGGGCCCCTTCTGTGCGCGCTGCCCCCCTGCCAGGGCTCCTTCTGTGCACGCTCTGTCCCCAGGGTGGGGGGGGGGGGGGAGCGTGTCGCGGGCCGGCTGCGCCACATCGCACGCAATGGTTCAAACCCCGACCGTGCTTCTGATGCTCTCCTGCCTCCGTCTCTATAGAGGGACGAGAGACAGCAGGCGCATCAATTTCTGTAGGTCCGCGCGGAGCTCTTGGGTCGGCGCTAAACCCCTTCCCTGGCGCGCGAAGCGCGTCAGAGACGGCACCGGAGGCGCCGCCAGGGGGGCCCAGCGCCGATCCAAGAACGCCGCGCGGGGCCCAACGTTTATGGTTAGGCCGTTCTCCCTTCTTGGATCTTCCTCCGACGCAGCACCTGTTCCACAACGAGGCGGCGTCCAGAGAGCTGTCGTCGCCCGTCAGCTGCCGTGTCGTCTCGCTGCCGCTTGGCTGCCAGATGCTCTCCTGCGGCTGGCGCCCAGCGGCCGACGCGGTCGGGGGGGCCTCTTGGCTGTCTCTGCTGACCTGCCTGTGGCGCGCCACCGCAGGCTCTGTCATCTGCCGCTTGGTCCGCAGGGCCGCGGTCTGTTCGTCGTCGCTCTCGAATACGTCCTCGATGAACCTCTCGTCCACGGATATGAACGTGTTCTTCACCTCGGGGTGGTTGTACCGATGAGCCGATACGTCAAACTCTTACGAGCCATCGCTTGGTCGTTGCAAGAGAAGCTCGACCACAAGAAACCTTTCACAAGAAACCCAACCCTGAGACCCCAGGACGTCCAATGTTTTTTGGTGTGGCAGCGTTGCACTTTCCATCGCACAACCATCCAAGCCCAAGAAACCCAGGGCACTCTGGAGGCAAGCAGGGCGTGCCTTGGCATGGGTTTCCACTGTAAACGGATTGGGGGACGATGGCCCTGGGCAGGGGGTCGAGAACGGCTCGGTCGCGCTCTCGGGCCAGGGCGAACAGGCGGCGATCAGGAAAGAGGAGGAGGCGGAGGCGGAGGCGGAGGAAAGAGGAGGAGGAGGAGGAGGAGGAGGAGGAGGAGGAGAAGGAGGAGGAGGAGGAGGAGGAGGAGGAGGAGGGAGGAGAGACGCGTGTCTCTTGGCATGGGCTTCCACTGCACGCCGAGAGGTCTTGCGAGCCACCGCCCGGCCGCGGGGCACCCCGGTGGCCGAGCCGGCCGGCCTGCGCAGCTCTGGACAGGCAGCTCCGAGGCCCCAGCTCGAGCCAGGCGCGGGCCCAGCGGGCCCCCAGCCGCGTGCGCGGAGGCATCCCGCCGACGGGGGCCCGGGGGGGGGGGCGAGGAGGAGGGGCAGGAGGAGGGGTAATGAGAATGACGCGGCATGGAGGCACGTCGTCATTCGGAGCGTGCCAGGTGTCCAAGGCGAGCAGGAGGCCAGCGTAGGCCGCTGCACGCGAACTAGAACGTGAGCGCTTGGCAAGCGGCATCTGTAAAGACACTGGGGAAAACTCGTGGATTCTTACACGGCTGCCAGCCGAAGCTGGGTTATAAACCAGGAGACTGGCGAGGGGGCACAGACAGGCCCCAACAGGCACATCTCGGGCCCTGGGGAACCGTCGGACCGACGTGTGGGGTACGAGGGACGCACAGTGAATGTCGACCTAGACTAGATCACACGGAGAACGATACAATCTCGGAGAGGCCAGGGCAGCGGCGGCAGCAGCAGCCTCAAGCCTGGAAGCAGGAGGCGAGGGAGAAAGATGAGCATCGGAGAAAAAAGCGGTGTGATACAGTGGGCGTGTACGGCCTCAGCGGGTGCTGCGGGGGCTACGCTCCGGCAGGTTCTGCTGGGGCGACGGTGAGGAGTGGTTCCTTCCAGCCGCAGGGCACAATGAATGAGAGCCAGGGCCCAGAAGTCGCTAGACTCATATGGAGGTGGCCAGGGGGCACTCTGGACTCCCGGTGTCTTCAACGGCCTCTCTTCGACACCAGGGGGAGGATGGGGGAGGAGCAGGAGCAGGTGGGAGAGCAGGAGGGAGAGAGCCGGCATCTTGCCTCACCCTCCACACCTGCCGAGCAGGAGGAGCCGTCGACAACGACGTGAACGGCGAGAACAGAGGGGGCGGCGAGCGACGGGAGGGAGAGCAGGAGGCAGGAGTGAGGGAGGACGGAGGGCGGAGGGAGGAGGCAGGCGCGAAGGGCGACGGAGGAGGGAGGAGGGAGGAGTCGGGAGGTGAGGGAGGATGAGGACGACGACGACAGTGAGAGCAGGCCCCGACCCAGGGGCATGACAGATCAGCACTGTACGATCCGTGATCGAGCTCAGATCCGAGGGCCAGGTGCGATCGGCGTGTCCACAGTAATCAGATCGGCGGACGAACACCAGCGTGCAAATGCAGCTTTCGACCGTGGTGGGCACACGCTCTAGGGCGGCTGGAATCGTGATACGCCCATATCTCCCCATTTGTGTATATGATTATATATATATATACACAAATATGTTTTTATATATGATCTTACTTATATATATAAATCCCATTTGTGTATATGATTATATATAATCATATACAAATATCCCATAAACCCTCCAACCGCCCGGTATAGGTTGAAGCCGAGAAGCCCGCCGCCGTGCCGTAGGCACCCAATGGAATGTAAGCAGGTCCCTTGGAGGAGGAGGAGGAGGAGGAGGAGGAGGAGGAGGAGGAGGAGGAGGAGGAGGAGGAGGAGGAAAAGGAGGAGGAGTGCGGAGCAGAGCCATCCCTGCTCGACTCAACGATCTGGCGGCAGCAGTGCGAATCGACAGCTCACCATGCGAACCAGGCAGGGTGCGGGAGGAAAACGAGAGGGAGAAGAAGAAAACGCCCCTTCGAGTTCTGTGCACCTGGCACGGCAAATAGTTGTGCAGGTGACCCAGAAACCCACCAACTCGCGGGCGCTCGTGGGGAGCCTGCCTCGTAGCCTTCACCGGAGACCCAACAGGCACTGAAACGCACATTCTGGTGCTCACGATGTCGGGTCCCGGAGCGGGAAGCGCCAGGATGGCCCCCGAGACCGCCCAAAGGCCCCGGGAGGCCCCCCAGGTGCGCCCCTGCAGGCCCCCGGAGGCCTGCGCGAGGCTCCGCGGGCCCACAGTCCAAGCGCGGCCGCCCCCGCGGCCTGCCGGAGGGGTGCCCGGCGTGCCAGACGCCGGGGTCGCAACAAAAAAGGTGTCTGGTGGCCCGCGGCAGCGGCCCGCCGGCCCCATCGGACAAAGGTTGGACCCGGCCATCGCTCGGACGTCCATTCCCTGTGCTTTTTGTCGGTTTCGTGCGTGGTTTTTGTTCGCGAAATGGTCAAGGATGTTCCTCGATGGTCCTCGCCGAAGAAAAAATGCACACGTCCGAGCGATGCAAGGGGACCCAGCGGTTCTCCCACCAGGAGGATCTCCGAGACGGCGAAGACGAGCCAGGATGGCACCATCAGCGCTCCCAGGGCGGCCAAGATGATGGCCCGGAGGTGGCCGAAGGTGGGCCAGGACGGCCTCCAGGGGCGACGGACCGCCCAGCGGCGCCCAAAGACAGCCCAGCGTGCCCGGCCCCAGGGTGATCCGAGAAAGCCCAGGAAGCTCCCAAGGGGGTCCGAACAGAAGCCCCCCCAAGACAGCCCCAAGACGGCCCCGAGGCCCCAGCAGCTCGGGCAACCACGCGGTCTGCTTGCAATACCGTGCTGACGCAACGCGTTCGAAACCGCACCGTCGTTTCCAAACGGCAGGGGGCGGCGGTGATTCGCCGGAGGCGTCTTCGATAGTGCCGCTCGTCCGCTGAATGCCAATGCTTCCGCCCAAACTCTTCGAGAGGCTCGGAGGCACAGAAGCGTGGATCAGAGAACCCAAGCCTTCTCAGGAAAGGAGCTGTTTCCATTCCTTGCCCCCGCTACCGCCCAGTGTGTGTGTTGTGTGTGTGTGTGCATGTGTGTGTGTGTGTGTGCATGTGTGCATGTGTGCATGTGTGTGTGTGTTTTTGTGTGTGTGTTGTGTGTGTGTTGTGTGTTGTGTGTGTTGTGTGTGTTGTGTGTGTGTTGTGTGTGTTGTGTGTGTGTTGTGTGTGTTGTGTGTGTTGTGTGTGTTGTGTGTGTTGTGTGTGTGTGTGTGTTGTGTGTGTGTGTGTGTGTTGTGTTGTGTGTGTTTGTGTGTTGTGTGTGTGTGTGTGTGTTGTGTGTGTGTGTGTGTGTTGTGTGTTGTGTGTGTTGTGTGTGTGTGTTGTGTGTTGTGTCTTGTGTGTTGTGTGTTGTGTGTTGTGTGTTGTGTGTTGTGTGTTGTGTGTTGTGTGTTGTGTGTTGTGTGTGTGTGTGTTGTGTGTTGTGTGTTGTGTGTTGTGTGTTGTGTGTTGTGTTGTGTGTTGTGTGTTGTGTGTTGTGTGTTGTGTGTTGTGTGTTGTGTGTTGTGTGTTGTGTGTTGTGTGTTGTGTGTTGTGTGTTGTGTGTGTATGTGTGTGTGTGTGGTGTGTGGTGTGTGTTGTGTGTGTATGTGTGTGTGTGTGTGCGGTCTGTGTGTGTGTGTGAGAGAGGGAGGGGGAGGGGGCAACCCGAAGGGGTTGGTGATGGAGAGCGACACGGGGGGCCGGCTCAGGGATGACAACATCGAGCTTGAATCGGCGATACGTCGCCGATGGATCGACGGGAGGCCCCCGATGGCGAAGCCGCACGCCCCTGGGCGGGGTGAGCTGTCGAGCCTCCGTCGGCGATGAGTGGGCGATCAGAGGTGGACGCGTCCCCCCCAATGAGCCTATGCCCGAGGGAAAGAGCCCGCGCAGCCGAGGCGCGGCGGTGCCGAGGTCGTCGCTCTCGACATGGCCAGGCTCGAGCTGCTCCCTGCCCCCGACCTCCTCCTCCTCCTCCTCCTCCTCCTCCTCCTCCTCCTCCTCCTCCTCCTCCTCCTCCCCCTCACGTTGCCCCCCCTGACCTTCGGGTAACAATTCGGCTCTCCAGCGGCCGCCCGGGACGATCCGGACACCCCCCCGGAGCGCCCTCGGCGAGCGAGGCGCGCGCGGCTGCTGGAAGGCACCCCGAGGCCAGCAGACCGCCGAGGACCGACGACCACGCCCGAGAACCTCGGACCTCGACTCCGAGAAAATCGTCTCCCCCTCCTCCTCCTCCTCCTCCTCCTCCTCCTCCTCCTCCTCCTCCTCCGCCTCCTCCTCCTCCTCCTCCTCCTCCTCCTCCTCCTCCTCCTCCTCCTCCTCCTCCCCCTCCTCCTCCTCCCCCTCCTCCTCCTCCTCCTCCTCCTCCTCCTCCTCCTCCTCCTCCTCCTCCTCCTCCTCCTCCTCCTCCTCTCCTCCTCCTCCTCCTCCTCCCCTTCCTCCCCCCACTCCTAGCCCTTTCGATCAGGGTCGGCGGCACCGGCCGTCAGGCCTCTCCAATCGTCTCCCCCCGAGCCCATTACCTCCCGAACGTTGTCCCTGAAGAGGGTGAGGATAGGAGATGCCTCGCCGGGATCAGGGTCTTCTGAGTGATTCGCCTTCAGCGGCGCCGCCGGGGCAGGCACCATCTGGCGGAAGAGCCGCCCGGCGGTGGTGGTCGCCCCGAGCTTGAAGCCGAGGCCCACGAGAATTCGCAGGCAGCAAAAATTAGCTGCGCTCGCAAATTCAAGCACAAAACGGCTGCGTATTGGGACTCGGTGATAGACAAGGCACAAGCCGTAACAAGCACAGCAAGAGCCTAACCATCGCGAAAAGACAGGGGGCCGAAGGCGACTTTCACTGTAAAACTTGCCGGACCTGTACTCCAAAGAGCCCCTCACCCCACACCCTCGCCTTAGCACAACCCGTGAGGATGCACCAGCTCCCCCTTGCTACCCAGCCAGCTCCACCACCTCCCTTCCCATCCAACCCTCTGTCCTTCGCTGCCCCCTTTGGTCGGTCTTCCCCACCTCTTGTCCCCCCTCTCATCCAGAGCGCGCCCCCCCCCCCCCCCGGCTCCCCCCTCCTCCCCATTCCCATGGCTCCCCTCCTCCTCAACTTCGTCTTCGCTGATCCTTTCTTCAGCCTTCCATCCTGCACGCTTTTCTGTTCACTGCTTCCACGCGCCACATTTGCCCGCTTTTCCTTGCTCCCTCCACGCGCCACCTTGGCGGCGAGCAAACGGCTCGTGCCAGGACACCTGACTCCCCAAAATCCGCCGACCCAGTCGGCGCGTGTGAGAGGCTCGTTGACGCGAGGCCAGCCCAGCCCAGTCTGTCGGCGACACATCGCCGATAGCTCGACGGCAGGCCCCCCATGGCGAAACCGCGCGCTCCTGGGCGGGGTGAGCTACCGAGCCTTCGTCGAGTGGGCGATCAGACGCGCCCCCCCCCCCCCCAATGAGCCTATGCCCACCTGGCGTGGCCCCCTGACCTTCGGGTCAAAACTCGGCTATCCGGCGGCCGCTCGGGACGATCTGGCCAACCCCGAGCGTCCTCGGCGAGGCGCAGCCGCTGGAAGGCACCACGAGGCTGGAAAACCGCTGGGGACTGGCGACACCGCCCGAAGGACTTGAGCCTCGATTCCGAGAAAGTCGTCCCCCGATGGACCTATCCCCGCTTACTACTTCCATTTGCTTTGCTTAGTTTGTTCCGTCGCACAGTTGTTTACGGCGCCATGTGTATGCGATAAGTGAATGCGATAAGTGTGCTTCCGCTGGGGAGCGATTACTATGCCAGACCCTTGCCAAATCTCCGTAGCGCACCGAGGGCATTGAATGGTTCACCACATGCGCGACAATCAAGATCACCGCAATCACAATTTCGCATACATGGCGTGTTGAGGCGCGGCTCTGTCGCCAACTTTCAGCTCGCTTCAATCCAGTACTCGACAGGAATGTTGTTCCTGACCCCCCGCCCTTCGTTGGTACGCTGGGGACGTTTTTGTTCCAGTTTTCAGCTTTACGGTTTTCGTACGGCCACACCGAAGAAAGGGCGGCAGCCCCAAACCCGAACACATCGAACGGATCCGACCCGAAAACGGCGCGAACGAGAATCCCAGAACGGGAGAAAAACCAACCAGTCCCCCAGAGCGGGAAACACGCCAATCTTGACAACGGCCACCTACCAAACCACCCCAACCCAACCCGAAGGCCTCAATTTGCCCTCCATTTCCAGTGGTGGGGGGTCGGGGAACATCGAACAACCACGTGTGGAGCCCATACCCCCCCCCCAACCCGAAATTCGGGTCTTCGGGTTGGGTTGGGGTGGTCTGGTAGGTAATCAGACAACGGAAGGAAAGCGGCCTTTTTCAGACATCGTCCGAACCCCCCCGCCGCAGCCACCCGCGAAGGCACGCGGTGCCAGAACCTCTGCTTAGTGCGACTGTTTGCGACAGTGCGTCCTATGAGGGGATTCTCCACCTGCTCGATGCAGGCGCCAAAAGACAGCCAAGATCTACTCCATGGGGGGGAGGGGGGTTCGAGGGCCCGCGCCGATCGGCAACACAATGAATAACAAAAATAATATCCTTGCGTGGAGGCGTAAAATAGGCAGAGGGATTACGTCACGTGATGCGAAGTTCCCCCCTCCCAACCGAATCCCCCTCCTCTTCCTCTTCTCTATGTCCTCCTCCTCCTCCTCCTCCTTCTCTTCCTCCGATTCGCATCACTTGACGGATCCAAATCGCCAATAAGACTGGGACTCGGGGGACTCGGGTTGGCCTGTCGGGGCCATCATGAAAATGACGAGACCCGGTCTGAAAAATTTGACGCGAGCCCCCGCTGCAGACGTCTCACGACAAGTGGACCGCCAAAACCCAGGACGCCCTCGTCAAAGAGCGTCGGCAAGCCCGAGTTCTGGCGTGCTCGAGTCCCACGTTTCCCCGATCCTTCGAACAGAGGCCTCCTGGATGGGGTTGGAGCAGATGGGGTCGGAGGGTGGCACCGCATCGCCGATGAAATGAACCGGCGGTGCATTTTCGATGCACCAGCGACGCCGACTGTGCATCGGCGACGTCGGCGTGGCGAACGTCGGGCTCCGCACCGCGCCGCGGCGCCGATGCATCGGGCGCTGCGGCGCGACCTTCCGAGCCCACCTGCTCGGACCCCCTCCTCCTCCTCCTCCTCCTCCTCCTCCTCCTCCTCCTCCTCCTCCTCCTCCTCCTCCTCCCGGGACGAGCACGAGGACGAGGACGAGGACGAGGACGGGGACGAGGACGAGGACGAGGAGGAGGAGGAGGAGGAGGAGGAGGAGGAGGAGGAGGAGGGTGAGGCCCAGAACCGAGCGAGGAGTGAGCCCTCCACCCGCGGGGCGCGCGGCGCCCGCGGCCCCCGAGGAGCAGCTGGCGCCCTCCGCCGGCGGCATGGCGGGCGGCCCGGGCTTCGCTCTCGGGCCGCCGCGGCGGGGCGCGCCTCCCGCGGCGGCGCCCCGCGCGGCCGGGGGGGCCCGGCTCGGCTGCGTTGCCCCTCGCGTTCCTGCTCCGCTCCCGCTCGCCCTCCCGCGCCCCCCAGTGCTGCTGCTGCTGCTCCTCTGGCTGCTGTTCTGGCTGCTGCTGCTGCTGCTGCTCTTGCTTCTGTTGCTGCTGCTACTCCTCCTCACTCTCCTCCTGCTCCTCCTCCTCTTCCTCGTCCTATTCCGCCTCATCCTCCTCCTCCTCCTTCTCCTCCTCCTCCTCCTCCTCTCCTCTCCTCCTCCTCCTCCTCCTCCTCCTCCTCTCCTCCTCCTCTCCTCCTCCTCCTCCTCCTCCTCCTCTCCTCCTCCTCCTCCTCCTCCTCTCCTCCTCCTCCTTCCTCCTCCTCCTCCTCCTCCTCCTCCTCCTCCTCCTCCTCCTCCTCCTCCTCCTCCTCCTCCTCCTCCTCCTCCTCCTCCTCCTCCTCCTCCCCCTCCCCCTCCTCCCTCCTCCTCCTCCTCCTCCTCCCTCCTCCTCCTCCTCCTCCTCCTCCTCCTCCTCCTCCTCCTCCTCCTCCTCCTCCTCCTCCTCCCCGTAGCCATTTTGGCTCAAGGTTTTGAGTTCCACAGTGGAACAAGTGGATACCGCTAGTCCGCGGCAGTGCCAGAGCGCTTGCGCTCGACAGTCTATCTTTCAGCCAGTACCGCAGGGGCTTCTGGCGGCCCAACGCGCAGCAGCACTTGGTGCTCGGTACCCCCTGTTCGCGCTGTGAGCTCCTGGCGGAGCGTGCATGCCATGCCGTGGACGTGGACTACTGAGCGTCCCCCTCCCTGGCGTGCGCAAGGTGATCAGCAGCGCCGTGATGCTGGTCGCCGTGGCCACAAGCGTCGCCGTGATGGTGATGCCTCACCCTACGCTGTCTGCAGCAAGTGCGAGCACTGGGAGTACCTCTACCATGGTCACGCTGCGTGCAGCCGGTGCGGCGGATCGTATGTCATGCACAAGAAGGCTACGGGTGAGTCGAGTGCGGCGGTCGGCTCACAGGTTCCCCTCGATCTGTCAGGACAAGCAAGTGCTGCAGTCGCTCAATTTCCTGGCCTACGAGATGTGCTCGCTAACCACCTGCCGCCTCCACCACCGCCGAACGTCCCGTCCGATGCGCAACTGGACGCAGCGGTGGCTGGAGAGCGGACTGCCTTGGCGAAGGGCGTGGAGGAGGCTGCCAAGGCTGAGCGCTTGGCCTGGCAGAGTCGCTCTGAGCGTCAAGAGGCTTTGCTCAAGGCCCGTGAGAAGGTCAAGCAGGCTGAGGCTGCCTTTGCCGAAGCTTCCTCGCACCTTGAGGAAGCCCAGTCTGCCCATACCGTCGCCAAGGAAAAGAAGGACATGTTCGACGAGGCCGCGTTCAAGAAGCAAAAGATGGAGGCTGCGGCGGCTGCTCAAGCTGCTGCGCGGCCCCCCTCTGCTGGTGCAGACGGCCCACCTGGTGGAGAACCTGGAGGCGCTCATGGCGTTTCTGGAGCGGGCCCTGCGCCTGAAGAAGCCCGCGAAGTACTTGGCAAACTTCATACCCTTGGAGATGAAGACCTACGGAAGCTCGCCGACAGCACCAAGGTCCCTTTCAGCGAGTGGTGCAACTTGCGCACCGCCCAGCTTGCCGCTCACAACGTCCTCAGTTCGGTCACTCCTGGCTCCTCGGCGTCTGCGTCGTCTGCTCCTGGAGTGGCTGGCGCTGATGAGGGTGCAGATGCTGCTATGGGCGGTGCGGGTGGCGAGGATGGTGGTGAACATAAGGCTGTTCCTGTCGATGCTGATGACGATCTTCTTGGTGAAACCGATCGGCAGGAGCTTTCTGAGCTTCGCAAGCGGTCTGCGGAGGAATGTAAGCCTGAGGACCTCGAGAGGTTGGAGACCCTCCTGGTCGAAAAATTCCAAGCGCAAGCGCATAAGAAGCTCAAGGTGGCTACTTATGCTAACGATATGTGGGTCAACGCTTTTGCCCACTCGGCAGCCCCCCAAGTTGTGCACGGCGCGTCGTTGGTTTGACGAGTCCCTGGGGCAGCGATGGCAGAGGGTCGACGTGAGCTCGACGATCGATGTCAAGTTCTGCAACGTTTCCAGCTGGTCTGAACTGGCCAAGTCTGAACTTGCCAGAGCTGTTGAGGATGTTGACGTTTACCTCTTTGCCGAGCACCATCAGGGACCCGACAAGCTACAGGCCGCCAAGAGAGACTGCTCATCTATGGGATGGCGCCCGCACTTCCAAGCAGCCCTTCCCTCGCCTGGCGGAGGATGGCATGGTGGTGTCGGCGCTGTCGTGCAGAAGGCGGTCTACTGTAAGAAATTCCTACGTAGTCTCCCCGCTGGGGTCGAGAACGTGGGCCAGGGGCAGAGTTGGTTTTTCCTGGAAATGAAGACGCAGCATTGTACGCTCGCTCTGGGAGTTATCTATCTGGTCTCTGGGATTGGAGCTTCAGGTATAAATCTCGACCGTCTCCATGAAGTGGTTGAGTTCCTGGGGATGCTTGAGTGCCCGTGGATCCTCTTGGGAGATTTCAACATGGAGCCCCTCGAGTTGCACCAGTGTGGATTCTGTGAGGTTGTCTCCGGCGTCGCGGTGGACCCCCGCAATACTGACTTTACCTGTGACAAAGGCGCTGGCCGCCTGATCGATTATGCTGTCGTTTCGCGGGACATCCGCCCATACCTTACGATTGATGCGGATTGGAGCTCCGCTTTTAAGACACACGCCTGCTTGCACGTGCAGATGTCGCTAGAGGTTCTCCGCGACACCGCGATGAAACGAGATCGACCAGTCCCAATCGGGGCCCACCCTGGGCCTGATCAGTGTTGGAGTGATTTTGTCCACCGTGCTGGTGACCAAGTTGTGGAGATACCTCGCGAAGTCCGTGGAGCTTTTCTCGAGTTTCACTGGCCGCGACACTCGCAAGGACTCTCGGAAGCCTATCAAAAGTGGTCTACTGCTGCGGAAATGCTGTTTTGCTCCCGCCCCCTCCACACCTGGCCGTCGCCGGGGGGGCGCAGGGGCAGAGCAGTAGTTGTGCAGGAGCGGACCCTTCCCAAACGAGGAGTGATGAAACAAGGTTTTTCCCACCCCTGCCTGGCTTTTTGGACGCTGATATCGCCCCGCCTGTATGATTTTGCTGTCGCCTTGAAGAGAGGAGGCACCACCCAGGTCACCGCTCTCAGGACTCTCCTCCGAGCACGCGGTGATGAGGTGGGGCTACACCTTGAAGGCCTTGCCGATGCACGGCAAGCTGCTGTCTGGACAGGGTGGTTGCAAGACATCCCAGGTGACCCTCGGAAGCTTGAGGTCATCCAAGGAGCTCTCGTCCCCGTCCTTCGTCGCGCGTGGACTGCGGCTCGGAAAGCTAATCGCCTCGGTATCCAGGCCTGGCTCTCTAAGGGACTCGCGGGGGGAGCGAAAGTGGTGCACCGTTGGTTACGGCCTGATGCCAAAAAGGAGGTTGAGATGTTTGTTACGCCCACTTTTGTTGCCCAAACCCCCCAAGAGCTGATGAGGTATCGCGAGCAGTTTTGGGCGTCCTGGTGGACGCCGACGAGTAGGCAGGTCGGTGATCTTGAGTGCGCTATGCAGCGCCTCCGACCTGTTGCTGAGCTGGAGGCGCTTGAGGCTCGCGGCATTGAGGGCCAAGATGTGCTCTCGGCTTGTAAGTGTTTCTCGGCCGACACGGCCCTTGGCGTGGACGGGTGGTCCCCTCGTGATTTGATGCGGCTTCCTGGTGAAGCCCTGGATCACTTGGCCACCATTTTTAATGGCATTGAGTATGCCCTTGGGTTCCCCCAGCAAGTGTATCTCTGTCTGGTCGCCCTCCTGCCCAAAACGGCGACGTCTGAAAGACCCATCACTAAGTGCCCCACCCTCTACCGTTTGTACACCCGAATACGCGGGGACAAAATCCAGGACTGGACCGATTCCCACGTCGCCTTCTGGGATGCGGCTGTGAAGAAATCGTCGGCCTTGCGTGCCGCCATGCTCCGTGAGGTTTTGCACGAGTGTGCTCGGGAGGAGGGGGTCTTTTCGGTTTCTGGCCACTGGGATATGGAGAAGTTTTTTGACACCATCGACCCAAGTAAGCTCATCGGCTTGGCTCAGGCTGTCGACTATTCCTCCCTGCTCCTCTACCTGGGCCTCCTGATCCACACCTCCCCCAGGCTCCTCGAGGTCCAGTCCCTGGTGTCGGGTGTTATGCAGGCAGGCCAGTCTATTTTAGCTGGATGTTCCCAGTCCCTGCCATGGATCAAATGTTATCTCTATGACATCTTGGAGGCGGCGCATTGCCGTGTTCCCCGAGTCCCGATTTCGGCGTATGTGGACGACCTTACCCAGTGCATCCAAGGCTCCGTGCAGGACATCATTGCTAAACTGGTGCCGGCTGCGCGAGAACTTTGTGATGTATTGAAACGTCGTGGGTGTAAGATCTCGTCGAAGTCGTGCGTCGTCGCCTCTTCTCGGCAAGTTGGTCGCCCTTTTCAGGCTCTCTGTGATGAGCTGAACGTTCCGCTTAAAGTTGTTGATTCTGTGAAGGACTTGGGAGTCGGGACCACGGCTGGGAGGAGGAGGACGATGTGGAAAATGACTCAGCGCAAGGAAGAGGCTAGGCTTCGTAGTAAGAGGCTCACGTTCCTGGCCCATGTTAATCGTCGTGCTCGCAAGTTGTTTAAACCAGGTGTGGTTGCAGTTGGCACATGGAGCCATCAAGTCCTTGGCACTCCGCCCTCGCGCATGCGTTCTCTTCGTGCCCAGGCGGCTAAAGCGACAGGACGATGGCATGCTGGCTGTTGTACCACTACCCTCCTTGCTCTTGATCATGCTATGTCCGATGACCCAGCGTATGAGATTCGCTATGAACATCTTTTGGAATGGAGCCGAACTTACAGGACCCTTGACCCTAGCCAGATCTGTAGCGTGAACAAAGTATGGCCCAAACTGTTAGCTAAGCTGCGAAGTGTTCCACCAGTTCATCGGTGGCGTCATGTGCGGGGCCCGATCGCGTCTGTCATCATGTGTATCTTGGAGCTCAATGGGAACCCACTGGAGCCCTGCACGTGGAGATTCCCGGGTGTCACCCTCCATGTTGATCGACGTGAGTTTCCGTATTTTTGTGGAAGACGGTTGAAAAACAAGTGGGCTGTATGCTTTGGGTCCAAGCCTCTGAGGCTTACGGGGGGCAGGGTCTGCATGAAGGAGTTGATTTTACTGGATTGCGAAAGCTGCGGAAATCGCTTTATCGGCAAGGCGATTTCGACGGCGTTGCTATATTGAATCACCTCGCCTCTGGCGGCCAGTGGCCTGAGCAGCGCCTCAAGGACAGTGGCTATCTCAGCAATGGTGTATGCCCTCGTTGTGGAGTTCGCCAGGAAACACCGTGGCACAGATACTGGGGCTGTCAAGATAATGCGAACATTGATGATGTCCACATACACCTCACTAACCACATGTATCAAGATTCCCTCGACGGCGTGCCTGAGTCGGAGTGTTTCTGGACTCGTGGGCTGGTTCCCATAGGATGGACGGTCGGAGTGTTGCCTCCCGTGGAAACTAAAGTTTGGGCCTGGGGATTTTTTCATGAGGCGCTTCGTGAAGGTGTTCTGATTCATGGGGGGATATTTGGGAGCGACGCTTCTGGAGGAGATCATACGAAGGATTGGAGGTTGAGGAGATGCGGGTGGTCTGTTGTTCACCTCTATCCAGGGACCCTCCAGGTGGCTGGCGTGTTGTGTGGAACCCTTCCTGGTGCCGAGCAAAGCTCTCCCCGAGCGGAACTGTATGCCGTGATCAAGCTGTTGCAAATGGTTGTCGGTGATGCGGTGCTGTACACCGACTTCCTGCCGATTGCACGCGCGTTTGCTCGGAAGGACGTTGAAGTTGATCACTCGTGCATGCTGGACCTGTGGCAGCAGGTCTGGGACCAGCTTGGCGACAGAGATGGCCGGCTGGAAGTCCACTGGTGCAAGAGCCACCCCACCTTCAAGCAGGTTTCCGCCCACCGCCTGACCCCCCAGGGATTAGTCGCCAATGGCGTTGCCGATCACTTTGCGGGGGAAGCTGCCAGGTGGGGGGCCCTCCCTGCTGAGAAGGTCAGGGAAATTTCTAACGTAGATGAGAATTGTTTACGTGTTGTTAAACGACTCCTCGCTGTCTCCAGGCACGTTTCGCTCACGTGCCCGAGGACGCGCGAGGATCGTCTAGGTAGGGAGCACCACAAAGAGCGAGGGCCCTGTTCGAGCAACCTCCGCAGAGCGAGATTGCGTGAGCAGGGCCATGATGTGTTTAAAGTGGCTGGATCCTTTAAGTGCTCACGGTGTCTCTGTAGATTCCCTGCTGTCCGAGGGGAGCTGGCCAAATTCTGGCCTGGTCCGTGTCCTGGTGCGCTGGTGTTGGGGTCTTCGTCGTCTGGCAGGTTGGGCCCTTCGACTTCCCCTGGCCCCGCGTCCCAGGGCAACCCAAACGGACATCCATGTTTCTCGCGTGCGCACCCGACGCACGTCCTGGCTGAATTCAAAGGTATATTGTACTGTCGTTGCTGCGGGTGCTTTGCTGCCAACACTGTTCAGAAGTTGGCCAAGCCCTGTCCACCCGCGTCTCCTGAGACAGGCAGACAGAAGCTGTCCGCCACTGGCAGGCGCAATCTTGAGCGGCTGGCTGAAGGCAAGCCCCCCAAGTATGGCATGGCCTTCCCCGCTCCCTGACTGTATTGATCTCGTGGGCCCGAGCTTGCACTCGTGAATCCCCCGAATGCAGGAATCGCAGGAATCCTCCTCCTCCTCCTCCTCCCCCTCCTCCTCCTCCTCCTCCTCCTCCCCCTCCTCCTCCTCCTCCTCCTCCTCCTCCTCCTCCTCCTCCTCCTCCTCCTCCTCCTCCTCCCTCCTCCTCCTCCTGCTCCCCCTCCTCCTCCTCCTCCTCCTCCTCCTCCTCCTCATCCTCCTCCTCCGTTTCCCCCTCCTCTGAATCCTCTCCTCCACCGCATCATCCTCACCACCAACACTACCATCATCATCACCATCATCGTCATCACCGTCACCGTCACCATCACCACAATCATCATTACAGCAGCATCATCAGCATCGTCATCATCATTAACAGCATCCTCATCATCACCAGCGAAATAATAATCAGCATCACCAGCATCATAGCCATGATCATTCATCATCAACACCAACATCACCATGACTTGCATCATCATCATCATCATCATCATCAGCAGCATCCTGATCATCATCAGCATCAACATCATCATAATTATCATCATCAGCATCAACAGCAGCAGCACCACCGTCATCATCATCATCATCATCATCATCATCATCATCATCATCATCAGCATCAGCATCGTCACCATCATCATCACTATCGGCATCATCACCATCCACAACATCGGTCCCAATCATCTGTATCTTCATCAGCATCAACACATCACCATCACAATCACCATCACCATCACCGTCACCATAATCATCACCATCAACGACAGAATCACCATCAGCAGCATCAGCATCATCACCATCATCACCATCATTATCATTATCATTATCACCATCATCAACATCATCATCATCATCATCATCATCATCATCATCATCATCATCATCATCATCCTTCCCCTCGCCGTGAGATTCCTCAGCTTCCCCCCCTCCTCCTACCTCGCCCGGACGCAGGGAGGGCTGAGAGCAGAACGGATATGGCTCTCTGGAGAGAGAGGGGCGGCGAGCTCCTCAGGGAGAGAGCCGGGGCCCGAAGCGGGCAAGGAGCGGAGGCGGTGAGCACGGTCGCAGTTGAGGCCGCAGGGGCTTGGAGAAGACGAAAGGAAAGGCTGAGGACGACGACGACGAGGAGGAGACTGAAAACTGAATCTCTGAAGAGGATTACGGCTGCAGCCAAGATGACGCCTGCAGCGAAGCCGCCCATGCACGTGCCCACTCGGCACAACTTACGGCTCGTTGGCCTGCCAGAGGAGGCGACGAGGAGGATGAGGAAAGTATGGGGAGGACGGGGGGGAAAGGGGGATGGGGGGGAGTTCGGAGGATGAGGGTGGAGGAGGGAGGGAGGAGACTTGGAGGGAAGGAATGGGGCAGGGGGAGGAGGGGGAAGCGGGAGTCAAAGAGGAGGGGACTCCGCGCCAACGGCAAGTTGAGGCATGTTACAATGTTCGCTGGCAAATCTGGTGGTTTTATGTAGCTTTCCAGCCCTCCCCGCAAGCTTTCCCCCCAGCGAAATCATACTCCTCTATCATGTTCGCCCCTGGTGCTCTCCGCGGCTCAAAAGAGCCCACCCCCAAAAGCAGCCTCCCAGAGGCTTCCAATGAGCCCCTGACAAGCCGAAGACATTGAAACTCCGCATGCACTCCATCTTTCGTTTTACTTACCGCTTTCTTCCTCCCTAGGACCGACAAGGGAAAACAGAAAGCAGTGAGCACCAAGGCGGCGCAAGACGTGCCCTGAGATGTCATGCGTACCCTCCGAGATTGCCAAAGACCGCCCCCAGGCGGCTCCAAAGCAGTCCCAGCAACCACTCAGACAGACGGCCCCAGGACCACCGAGCCTCTGTAGAGCCCCAGGACGGCCAGAGAGCGCCACGGGGGGCCCGCGGAAGCTCGGCGGACTCTAGGATCTGCGAAGTCTGCCCGCAGGAGCCTGGTGGATCCGTGCTGCAGACGTCTCCTGCGCTGGCATGGTGCCAGGGCTTGCCGCAAACGGGCGGATCCAGCAGGCACATGCACTTTACGGCAGATCGCCGTCAGAAACCTTGGGGGTCCTAAGGTGCCCCCGAGCTTGTGTGGGTCCCTGGGGCCATCGGGTGATGAGACACTTTCGCGGGGCACCGGCTGGCTGCCTGCAGCATCTGCGCTCCGCAGACGAAACATGAGAACTGAACGCTTTGAGTGCGCACTCCTCCGGGCACACCCCTCGTCCATCTTCAGCCACGCACGCGCGTCAGCTTTAGGGGACCGAACAATGACATTAACATACAAACTCGGAGGTCCGCGCGGATTTCTCGGATCGGCGCTGGACCCCCCTCCCTGGCGCGCCAGGGGCGGCGCCGGAGGCGCCGCCAAGTGGGTTTAGCGCCGATCCGAGAAGTCCGCGCGGACCTCCGAGTTTTTTGTTTATGTCATTGTTCGTTCCCCTAGCACTCCTCCAGGCACACCACTCGTCCACCTTCAGCTCTTCACGTGCGTCAGCTTCGCTCTCTTCCTCCGCCTACCCCTCTTGAGTCTGATGCTGCTGCCCTCGTGATCCTCTCTCGGCTCCGCTCCTGCTCAGCTGGTCCCCCCCCGCTCTCTATGCTGCACTTGTCCTAGGACCCCTCCCTCAATATATCCCTCCTCTCCCTCTTGGGCCCCTGCAGAAACATCACTCCATCAAAATCCACCATCCCTCGCACCAAGCCCTGAGTCCCTCGTCCCGCTCTGCTGCCGCCCTCCTTCCTCGCTTACCCGCTCTTCCACCCTCCTCGCCCGCATCCACCCCGCTTCAAACCTCGCAACCTCTGACGCCAACCCGAGAGGGAAGGGGAACAAAACAGCACAAACGTGCCACCCATTCGCATGGAGCTGCACCGGCCTCGTCCTTGATGCGGACCAGCAGCACCTCTGGAACGAAGCCACCAAGACAAGCAAGGCATGGCGGAAAGAGGACGCAGGCGCAGGAGCAACGGGTAACAGGATAAGCATAAGAAGGTCCTCCTCGTGCTCCTCGTTCTCCTCCTCCTCCTGCCAGCTGCTGGTAGTTCCCACAGTTATGTGAATCCCCCTCTTCAGGAGGGGCAGGAGGAAGAGGAGGAATCCGGAGCGGCGCCGGCAACGGTAGCAGAAGGAGGGGGAGCTGGCACCAGCCCACGGCCAGCTTTGACCAGTGCGGTCCAGCCCGGAGGAGAGCAGGAGGAGGAAAGAGGACCAACGAGACTCGAGGGCTCGAGTAAGGAGATAAGAGGAAAGAGGAGAGAAGGAAGGGGAAAGAGGATCAACGAGACTCGAGGGCTCGAGTAAGGAGAGAAGAGGAAAGAGGAGAGAAGGAAGGGGAAAGAGGACCAACGAGACTCGAGGGCTCGAGGCTCTCGGGCGCTCTTCGGCCAGCTCGGAACGCCTGGGAGGCACCCGGGGCTGCCAGGGCAGCATTCGCCTCGAGGCTCTGCCTGCAACGCCCCCCCCCCCGCCCCCACCCCATGATGGGGCCTGTGGGGCCGCCTGTTTTGAAGGGGCCCCGGGACACACAAATAAATACACACAAATAACACGATTCACATATTTTCCAATATGTTCTGGGTTTCCGTCTTCCCCCCCCTCCCATATCTTCCCATATGTTCTAGGGAATCGAGGATCAATTGTGTCTGTGTGTTTCTTTTCCTCCTGATGTCTTGAGGGTCGGGGGAGAGCCCGGGCGGCGAGGGAAGCGCCCGCGGCCTCGAGGGACGAGCCCGCGACCCGCGCGGCACGCTGGCCGACCGCCCGTCCTCACCCCACCACCTCGCCTCCCGAAGTCGAGGCAGGGGGGGGTGGAGGGAGAGGCGAGGATGGACGGTCGGGAGAGGATGGAGGTGAGGATGGATGTGAGGGAGAGGTGATTGGGGAAGCCACGAGGTACACCGATATACCGCTGCTCCCAGGACCTCTCCCGGGGCACGTTCCGACCATTGGCGAATGCAGCGGTGGCGACGAGGGCGTCGCAAGAGGCCCAGAAAGGGGGAGACGAGGCAAGGGTAGCGGTATGGGCTCCTTTTCCTCCCCTGAGTGATGATGGAGGTGACAGCCGAGAGTCTCGACCCTGCTCGCCTCCACCCCTCTCCCCGGGCTCCCAGCTGCGGCCGCCGAGGGCGCGGCGCGAAACACGGCGCCGCCCTCCCTCGCCGCATTTCCCCCTCCAAATTACTCCTCCTCGGCCTCCTCATCCTCCTCCTCCTCCTCCTCCTCCTCCCTCCTCCTCCTCCTCCTCCTCCCTCCTCCTCCTCCTCCTCCTCCTCCTCCTCCTCCGCCTCCTCCTCCTCCTCCCTCCCCTCCTCCTCCTCCTCCTCCCCTCCTCCTCCTCCTCCTCCTCCGCCTCCTCCTCCTCCTCCTCCTCCCTCCTCCTCCTCCTCCTCCTCCTCCTCCTCCTCCTCCTTCCTCCTCCTCCTCTCCTCCTCCTCCTCCTCCTCCTCCTCCTCCTCCTCCTCCTCCTCGCTCCTCCTCCTCCCTCCTCCTCCTCCTCCTCCTCCTCCTCCTCCTCCTCCTCCTCCTCCTCCTCCTCCTCCTCCTCCTCCTCCTCCTCCTCCCTCCTCCTGCCTCCTCCTCCTCCTCCTCCTCCTCCTCCTCCTCCTCCTCCTCCTCCTCCTCCTCCTCCTCCTCCTCCTCCCCTCCCCTCCTCCTCCTCCTCCTCCTCCTCTCCTCCTCCTTTCTCCTCCTCCTCATCCTCCTCCTCCTCCTCCTCCTCCTCCTCCTCCTCCTCCTCCTTCCTGCCAGCCCTCGGAGATGTGCTGGGGGAAGGGAAGGGGCCGCTCTCCAGTGCTGGCCGGCGGGGGCACGGGGGGCCGGCGGGGGCACGGGCACGGGCACGGCGGGGCGAGCCTGCGAGGAGGCGAGCTGCCGCGGGGGGGGGGACGAGCGAACTTTTTGTACGTCGGCGGCTGGGCAGAGCGACTTCGCTGGCGGATGGAGCAACTGCGGGGCACACAAATGCTAATCAGGCCCCGATGCACGTGAAGACGAGTGGGAACGCAGTGGGGCGAACGAACACACACACACACACAGAGACCCACTTGGGGGACGGATGGGGCTAGGGGTGCGTGCTGTCGGACGGGGGTGCTCACTCGGGCGGGGAACCTCCCCCGGGGTCCGACATATCCCGCGCCCATACCCATAGCCAGTCCTTCTCCCTCCGCTCCCTCCGCCCCCCCCCCCTGCTGTTCGTTCGCCAAGGGTAGGCTGCCGGGGCAGCGCAGACAACCCGCCTCGCCCGGGTGCTCCCGCAGGAAGGCGCCGCAAGCCTCCGAAGTGGCGGAGGTCTACCGTCGTCGTCGTCGTCGTCGTCGTCGTCGTCGTCGTACAGCAGGCACATCGAATAAGAAACCAGCCTGTCAGCAGGTGCCTCACGGAAATTCCTTGTCCCCCGAAGGCCCGAGGGACCAACAGAAACACTGGGAGACCTTAGAACCCTTCCAAATCGATGAGGACTGCGTCCTAAGATTTCGCATAGCAAGAATTCTTGTCGTATGTGTCAACATTAAACTCATAGTCGTCGTCGTCAGCGTCGTCGTCTGGGTCGTCGTCGTCCCCGTCGTCAGGGTCGTCATCGTCAGCGTCGTCGTTGGCGGCGTCGACGTCCGATTCAGGGTCAACAGTCTAGCGTCATGCGCCGTCGGCCCAGTCCGCCGCCAACCGTCCATCGTCGTCCATCGTCTGCCGTCCGTCGTCCGTCGTCGTCCGTCGTCGGGTCGTCGTCGTGGTCCGTCGTCCTCGCGGATCTCCCCCTTCTCCTTGCTTCTCCTCGCTCCTCCTTCCTCCTCCTTCTCTTCCTCCTGCCACCACCCCTGCTCATGCTCTCTTTCTCTTCCTCATTGCTCATCGTCTGAATCCCCCTCTTCTGATCCCTCCACGTTTCCTCGTTATGTTTCTCCTCCAGGTCCATCTGTAACAACCGATGTGTCCGTTTGACATAAGCGGAAACGGTGTAACCGATGAGGTCTGTGGGTTCGAGCTGAACAACATGTAACATATGTGGCAAGACTTGCCTTCCACTCGAGGAAGCCTTGCAACATGGCCGTGCCTGGAGAAGCCGCAGCGAAAACAGAGTCGCCGCACGCCGGCCGGCATGTCGTGACCATCCTGGGTCGAAGTCCTCATGACCCCCACCCCGACCGCCCACTCGAGGAGTGGGCCCCGCGGCGGGGCCGAAGCCGGCGGCATGCAGCAGATGTCGTACCCTCCCCCCCGTTCCCTCCCCCCCCCCCCGGCCTTTCGTTCGGCCCGACGCTCACACCGACCCCGGCAGGCGGCTCGCCAGGGAGGGTTTGCCTGCCGACCCCGTGCCCAGCACCGCCCCTTGCCAGGCTCAGCGCAGGCGGTGGCTGCTCGGCGCCTTCTCCCTGCCCCTCCCGCCGTCGGCCCCCCCCCCCTCTCGGGCGCGCCGAAGACGGGCCTGGCAGAGGGGCGAGACGAGGCCAGTGGACGAGGAGGGCGTCGGGTGAGGATCGATCGAGCACCTCTGGGAGCCGGCGGCTCTGTGATGTTGCATCCTCGGGGGGGGCCTTGTCTGTCCCGTCGCGGCCCTGTCCGCGTCGAATCCGTGTCGAACCCATGTCGGACGCGTCGGATCCGTGTCGAATCCGTGTCGAATCCGCGTCGAACCCGCGCCAAATCCGCGTCGAGTCCGCATCGAGCACGCGTCGGGCCCCCAAAAAGACATTAATTTTGGGGACAGGCGGGGTCCCCCGAAGATGCAACAGAAGCTCTGGAGGATGTCTCGGGCGCCGCGGCCTTCGCAGGGCGCTCATGGAACGCTGCGAGGGCGTTCCTCCGAAACGCTCTGGGACGGAAAATCCCTCGTCCAGGCCCCGCCCGGCCGAGAAACGGGGACCTGGAAGGAGGGGGCGGCGCACCATGGCCAGAGGCACCGTTTCGGGTTTCGGGTTTCGGGTTTCGGGCTTCGGGTTTCGAGTTCAGGGTTTCGTGTTTCGGGTTTCGGGTTCAGGGTTTCGGGTTACGGGTTTCGCCTGGTGCCTCTGGCCATGAGGTGGAGACAGGGCCACGACGTCCAGGAGGTAGCATGGCCCCGGCCAGCAGACGGTCCGCCCTAGAGCAGGAAAGCACCCTTCAAAAAAGATATGAGGCCCTCCGCCGGCCCAGCCTGACGAGTCTTCGAGGGTGCCCTCCTTGCCAGCCTCGAGCTTGTCCCTATCCCTGAGATTGACACGCCAAAAGGCGATGGCAATCTCAGGGGTGCGCCCTCAGAAAACAAGGGAATCCCTAAACTTGGCATCGTCAAGAGGAGATGCCCAGCATAGGGATAGGGATATGCTCCAGGCTGGTAACCTCCCCCAGGATGCACAAGAACAGCCACCAAACACGAAGATCATTAGGGCCCCCCCGCCGATCCGACCTCGATCC